GACGCTTCTGTCTCTGTAATTTTAGAAAATCCGCCAGGTTTATTTATTTCAAGTCGTACTTCGGTTCGATACTATCGCGCATTGTCGCGCAATACTGAGCACTATTTTATGTCTGCGACCCGTATAGATCTAGCCTCATGTTTTCTTTTTTTACTTGGTGCTAAATTCGACTGTGATCCTTTCGTTTGATGACCATCATCATTTTTTCTGGACTCTTTTGTCAAATTCTTTTTCTTGCTACAGGGAACAATCTACACGCTTCTGTCTCAATCCGTTCATTAAATGGGGGCCCAGCTAGTCATATCTATATTTACGTGCATATGGATTACTTATGCTGCCGGGTTTTTTATGTGTGTGATGAAATAATTCTGCGAAAGCGAAACTGAAATAAGATCCCCGCTGGTGCGTGTGCACGTTAACTCAGCTGAGTTGAGTGACAAGATCTTTTGTCGTCTACAGTCTACAACAACCAGATAGCCATTCTCCCACAAGGGTGGAGTGAGGAAAATTCTCGTGTTGCGTGCCTTTCCAAAGGACAAAAAACGTCGGATCCCTGACGACAGGCGTGTGGGATCCACGACCTTTTTTTCTTTCAGGCATCGTCATAGTGAAACCAGGCGCTCACAAAAATGACGAAATCGAAGAAACAGGTAGATCTATCTTTCTGCCACTTTGGCAATTTTTATCGAATTTTTGTTATCTGGCTCAAAACCTTTTATGTCCATATAAAAACACACGTCCATGTAAACTTTTCTGAAAACGTTGATTAAAGGCACAGAATAGATCTTATGTTATTTTTCAGTTTTCAATTACTCTCAAGCTATTGAAGTTACCAAACTTTGGCAGCCATTTTCTCCCTAAGTTTACTACTGAAACAAGGTGACTCCACCTCGTTCAATCGCAAATATCTCGACTTCCATTCAGGATAGTTTGTTTGTTTTTTTCATTGAAATCAAGGCAAATGAATAACCTTTCAGATGGTACCAAAAACTTCATATGCCCCAAAATTGACGAGCGCCTGATTCCACTGCGTTGTGACACATTTGGTTGCGAGCTCAACTGCTTACCCTTTGACCGCCCACGCCGCGTGTCATATAACACCCCTGATCTTCTGGTAGGAAAGATCTACACCTAGCCTTCTCTGACAAGGGCGAAAAATCTCGGAGGGCCCGTGTGCAAGTTGCGCACGTTAAAGATCCATTGGTGGTCTAAAATCGATAAGAGTAGGCTTCGGCCGCCACCCGGGCAAAATTCAAAATTTCTTACCAACTGAAAATACTGGGTGTGTCCCGCGCGCTCATATGACCTTATGCAGTTGCGAGCGCCGTAAAAGACTACAAAAACAAAACAAAACAAAACCAAAAAAAGTGTCATATAAATAGTTTTCCTGGAAACGTTGAAACGGCCATCAGCAGCTAGGGCTGGGCAATAAGTCGCTTTAGCAAAATCCGGATAACAATAACATGTTAGTGCACCTCTTCGGTAAATAATTTGTTATGAACCGGTTCTGCAAATGGTTTCGAACCGCTTTGACTAACGGGTTAGCAACACTTCAACAAATGGGAGGACCCACTTCGGCAAACCGGTCAGGAAAAAGAGTTAGAGAATCTGAATTCGGATAGTGCCTCAATGAGGATTATCCGATTTTCCGGATATTTATCCCGGTTTTTCCCACTTGTAGCCTCAGCGCTGTGGCGGAGATGACTAGTGGCGGCGGAGATGACTAGTGGCGGCTAGGCTAGACACTTCGCTATCCTGTCGCACTCAGGAGACCCAAGTTCAATTCTCGAGTAGGAAAAAAATTGTATGTATCATCTGGGGGTTTTCTGCTGAGTGAGTCTATTTTCCTTGTTTCAAACGTTGTATTGTCACTTACAATAATAATAATAATAGATAGCATTAATAGTATAGCGCAAATCCCCGCTCAACAGCAAGCTCTAATATGCGCTTCACAATCTGTACTATTACTATTACCCAAGCAGACCCGAGAGCATTCTGAAACAACCTCAACTTCCTGGGAAGCATACAGTGCAAGCTACCATGTATAGGTGCTAAAACACTAACATACTGACAAGATCTTTGGCTGTCTATGGTCGGGTACCCATTCCCACCTGGGTGAAGTGAGA